CACGTCGCGCCCCCCCCACCCCCCCCCCCCCCCCCCCCCCACACCCACCCCACACACCCCCCCCGCAGCGCGAGAGGCCCGTTTGGCAGAAGTCGATGCAAATGTTGGAACCCCGATGGTGTTCCCAAGAATTCGCAGTAGCGCGAGCGCAAGCTTCTTTGAACACTGTTGCGAAACCATGTGTTTTTTCCCAGCAATCCTGTTGTGTTGGGTCCTCGTTGTCTCCTTCCTCCCCCCCCCCCTGCGTTTTCCCCGTCCAGTGCAGCGCTTCGCGGCCCCGCAGGGAGCTCGACCGAAGGTCCCGCTGGCGGAACTCGCATGCGGCTCCTGCGCCTACCAGTGCGCTTCGTGGCCCCATGGGGAGCTCCGCCGAAGGCCCCAGCGGCGGAGCTCGCATGCGGCCCCCGCGCAAAGCACAGCGCTTCGCAGCCCCAGAGAAAGCTCCAGCGAAGGTCCCCGCGGCGGAACTCGCATGCGACTCCTGCGCCCAGCACGACGCTTCGCGGCACCATAGGGGGCCCCACCGAAGATCCCCATGGCGGAACTCGCATGCGGTTCCTGCGGCCAGCACGGTGTTTCGCGGCCACATAGGAGCTCCGCCGACGGTCCCCGCGGCGGAACTCGCATGCGGTTTCTGTGCCCAGCGCAGCGCTTCGTGGCCTCATAGGGAGCTCCACCGAAGGTCCCAGCGGCAGAACTCGAATGCGCTTCCTGCGCCCAATGCAACGTTTCGCGGCCCCATAGAGAGCTCCACCGAAGTTCCCAGCGGCGGAACTCGCATGCGGTTCCTGCGACCGCCATGTCGTTCCGTGGCCCATGGGGCGCTCCACCGAAAGTCCCAGCGGCGGAACTCGCGCGCGGTTCCCGCGCCCAGCGCAGCGTTTCGTTGCCCAGCATGGGGGGCTCCACCGAAGGTCCCAGGGGCGGAACTCGCATGCGGTCCCAGCGCCCAGCGCAACGTTTCGCGGCCCCACAGGGAGCGCACCTTTCACGCGCTTCGACAGCCTGGGCGCGAGCGGTCCGCAGTCAAACCTTCTCTCGGCCCTGTAGACTCTCGCCCTGGGCCGTCGGCTGTCTGGCGCGCCGCCCCCTCGGCCGACGTCGCCCAAGCTTGATCCTGGACTTCGGCCGCCGCGAGGTCGGGAACGGCAAGAAGGAGGACAATGACTGGTGGCTGGAGCTCTACGCGCTGCTCTCGCGCGCCACGCGCCACGAGGACACCCCGATCACGCGGGCGCCGTGGATCGAGTTCTTCCAGGCGGGGCCGCCGGAAGGCCCACGGAAGCAGCTGGAGCAATTCGCGGCGCGCGCGAAGCGGCGCCGGAGGGAGGCGACGGCCCTCGCCGAGGAGTTGGGCTTCGCCGAGTTCATCCGCGAGGCCTGACCAGGGGGGCGGCCCGCCTGAGCCTCGCCTTCTCTCAACGGTCTGACTGTTCGGCCCCGCGCCGCGGACGGCGCGCGCGCGTCGCTGGAGCCCTCTCGGAACGACCAGCGCGCGTCGCGGGAACTCCATGCCGCGCTCTGCCCAGCGCCTCTCTCGCCTGTCGTCGCTCTGCCTAGCGGCCAGAGCATGGCCCGCAATCGGCCAGCAAGCTAGCTCTCTTTACTCTGGGCAGCGGGCGACCCGCGCGCGTCGCCGGGGCCAGCTCGGGGCGACCGGCGCGCGCTGCGGGGGCCCCGCGCTGCGACCGCGGCCCTGGGCAGCGGAGTGCGCGGGCGCGGAGGGAGGGGGAGAAAGGAAAGGCAATCTGGGACGGCCAAGCTGTTCTCGCAAGTCCCCACCAAACAGATCGCGGACTGAAGGGGCCAAGCCAAAGGGCCTATAAGGGGGCCCCACCGAAGGCCCCAGCGCCGCCGCCGCTCCATTTTGGCACGCCCCTCACATGGTTCGCGCACCCCTAAAAAGCTCCACCGGATACGATATTCACAGACGCGGCACTCACAACTGCGCGCGGCTGGGCCCTTCGCCTAGCCATTTGTATGGTTTCGGGGCGCTGGGATTCGACATCTTTGCGAAACCTGACGTGTTTGTCTAAATTCGGCATGCGCGCGCGACGACGCGCGCGCGCGTGCACTGCGCCCCGTTTCTTTGTAACATATTATTGCGACAGCGCGCGCGCAAGGGCGTTCGAGCAAGTTCGAGATGCGCGCGCACGCGAAGCCCGTTTTCTGGCATGTTATCGAATGTTGGAGAAAAAACTCGGTTCTGAAGAATTCGGAAGGGCGCGAGCGCAAATTTTCTTTGAAAATCACCGTTGCGAAAACGCGTGTTGCGAATGCTTTCTGGGCGCTCGATTTTGGGATGGTGCGAAGTCATATTCGGAGTGGACGATGGGCAGTGTCAATTACAATGCGAAAAAAGAGTGCGGATAATCCCGGGGGGGTAGAATCTTTTTCTTTTTTAAAAAGGAGAACCTATATTGTGCAATTGACAGCCTTGCACCACGCTTGTCCACCTCCCATGCTCTTGCAAACATCCCACCCACCTACCAGCAGCTTGGCTTGCAAAACCCATGCGGCGGCGATTGCGATGAATGCTTGGCTTTGGCTGGTGCATCTCTGCGGCCGCGCCTGCCCGCGCATGCTCGCGGGCGCAGCGGCCAACTAGTCTGGCGCGACCGACGCGGCCGCGGTGGCGCTGACCGCTCGGCACTTCCCAGCGGGCACTCCAGCGCGAGTTGGTGACCTGGGCGGGCGCGGCATCACGGCGACGACGACACCGGTAGACGCGACTACGAAAGGTAGCCATGGTGACGAAGGTGACGAAGACGACGGCAAGGCCAGCGACGGCGCCGACGCTGACCACACCGACGGCGATGACGGCGTCTTCGCGTCGGTGATTAAGGTTTTGGAAGGAGTTCGACATGCGCGCGCAGCCGACGCGCGAAAGCAGCTGCATGGAATTATCTGACACGGATCGTGCCTCCCCTGCACGCGCGCAAAGGCGTTCGAATGATTGCGACATGCGGCGCGAGAGGCCCGCTTGCAATAATCCTTATATATATATATACATATACATATTCCCTCAAAAATTAGCAAGAGCACGGGCGCAGGCTGTTTTGAAAACTTATGTTGCGAAACTACATGTGCTTTCTCTGTTTGTTTGGACACTTGGTTTTGAAGTTCTCGCGACACCGGAGATTTTTGACTGATTTGGGCATGCGAGCGCGGCTACGCGAGCTTGTGCACTCCGTCCCTGGTTGCGACATGACGCGCGCTAGGGCGTTCGAATGAGTTCGGAATGCGCTCGCGCGCGAAGCACTATTGGTAGCATGTAATGCACATGTTGAAAACCAACGGCTTTCGTAAGAATTCGCACAAGCGCGCAAGCGTGTTTGGAACATCAGTGTTGCAAGACCATGTGTGCTTATAGTTTGTTTGGACATTCGATTTGGAAATCCGGAAGAAGCCTCAGATGTTTGACGGATTTCGGCATGCGCGCGCGACGACGCGCGTGTGCGCACTTCGTTTCATTTCTTGCAAGGAATACTTGAAAACATGAATTTTGATAGCCGACTGCGCGCACAGTATGTTTTATAAAGGAGGGGGGGGTCGATACGGGCCCCCATGGGATGGTGCGAAAGCATATTTGGGATGGACGATGGGCCAGGATTTTAAGTAAAATGCAATAGGAAAAAAAAAACGGATCATCCTGGGGGGGGAGAATCTATTTATTCTCTGAGAAAGGAGAATCCATGTTGGGGGGGCCTTGCAAAAAAAGCGGGGGACCTTGCAAGAAGGCGGGGGGGGGTTCAAAAGAACGGCCCAAAGGCAACCGGGAGGGCTTCTAGGAAGCGCCCCGCCTTCTTGGATGGCCCCCCCTCGCGCCAATCCAATACTCCTTGTGCCGGTCGCCAAGCTTGCGCGGGCCGCCCAATTGTGCAAGGCACAGCGCGTCGTCGCGGCGGCCTCAGCGACACGTTGTGCCCTGCGAGCGGATAGCGCGTCGCTCCGCTCCGAGGGGTGGGAGGCAGGGACAAAAACTCGTCACGTGCACGCCCGGGGACCGCGAAGTGGACCGCGTGCAGCGCCCGGGCGTGGTAGGCCAGACCCGGCGGAGCGACACGCGAACCAAAAGTTTCCGACCGTACCACCCTCGCGAGGAGCCAGGAGCCCAGACATGATCGCGTCGTCAAAAAATCAGGGCGGCAAGATTATCAATATTTTCGGCCCTTGGGGGCCCTCGCCGGGCCCCGGGATCATGATTGAAAAACTGGCCCCGGGGAAAGGGTCTGGACTTCCAGGAACGCCGTCCTGAAAAAAACAAGACCTCGCATGTCTGGGAGGGGGACCCTCCTGGTTGTGCCACCACCCTGTCCTGCGGCGTCCCACTGGAGACACCTCCACTCTCCAGCTCGGGGAAGCGTCGTGGACCTCCTCGACCGTGGTGGCCCGCTAGTGGTGGTGGCGTCGCCCCTCCTCCCTCCGATCAGGGAAGGGGTGGGGGATGAGAGGGGGCACTGGCTCCCCAGACCCCATCGGCTAAGCAAAAAACGCTACAACATGTTTGCCCCCTTTCCGCCACTGACGGCCCTTGACCCGGCCCCAGGGCCATCCACAAAGACGGCGCTCGGGAGTGAGAGGCGGCCCCGGCCAACAGGTCGAGACCTCCGAGGGGGCCCACGCCTTGAGGACATCGCGTAGTCGGCGGTGTCGGCCTTGGCGACGGATAGGGATCGGGACGGCTGGGCTTTACCTACAGGTTAAGCATCCAGGGTCCCTCTGGGCCCAAGGACCGTCAGAAAAACAATCTGGGATGACAGCCCGTCGCCCTGGACCGGCTCGAGCGCGTTAGGATCCACGTCACGAAAAATCGTGGAGTCCAGGCACATCGACCTGGACTCGGCGAAATAACACCGATAGATCGTCCGAGATAGGCCCATCATCGGGAAACCTGAAGTTCCTGGGCATGGTGGAACACCCAAGCCTGGATCGGCGATGTGCAATGGGTGTCGATGATCCCCTTCCTGGGAAATCCCCATATTCACACCCCATGGCTCCGGCGGAGCACGTAATCGGGCACCGTCATCAGCCTGCCGCGGTGACCGTGGTACTCCTGGAGACAAGAGAACATACGAGGAGATAAAGGGGGCATGTGTTCGAATGTGTGTGTTTGCAAGTTTGTTTACGGAATCCCCCAGGTGCACGCATCAACCTCGAGACGCTTCCAGCAGCCTCTGGAGGTTCCCAGGGACATCCAGACACCGACGAGGAGGAGGAGGAGGAGGAGGACGAGGATGAGGACGACGACGACGAGGAGAAGGACGAGGAGAAAAAGGGAAGGGGGGGAGGGAGGGAAGGAGGGCAACGGGACTTTAGGAGGATCGAGGGGACTACGGCGAGCTCCATGGTCCAAGGTCTAGGGAGCCCACGAGCAGTCATGGATCCTCAACCCCGCTACCTCCGTCCCGCCTCCCCCTCCTCCTCCTCCTCCTCCTCCGCATCCTCCTCCTTCTCCTCCTCCTCGTTCGCCTCCTTCTCCTCCTCCTCCTCCTCGCGAGCCCGACCCGCGTGATGACCACGAGGCTCATGATCAGCAGTCTCCATCAGGCTTGCTGGACGCCAACCTCGCCATCATGTTGGGCGCAGTTGGGGCGCTCGGACGAAGCAGCTATCGCGAGGCCATCTCGCAACAGCGACGCCACCAAGGATTTCTCCGCAGCGCACGCCTCCGCGCCTCCTCCTCCTCCTCCTCCTCCTCCGCCTCCACCTCCTCCTCCTCCTCATCATCATCATCCCCCTCCTACGCCTCCTACGCCTCCTGGGAGGAGCCTCGCTCTGAGATCAGGATGTTTGGCATCGGATGCAGGGAGATGCTTTCCAGTTGCGCGCATACTCGCTGTCCTGAGCAGCAAGATGGAGACACACCAGGAGGACAGAGCTTGTCAGGGCTTCTTCTCGCCGACGCCGCCGAGGCACTGCGGCACCGAATTCGCAGAAAGCTACCAACCGAGCCATCGATCTCCCTCAAGCGTGCCTTCTTGTCGACAGGATGATGCGGTAGTAGTACATCGTCTCGCGTGCTCTCTTTGGCACTGTGGTCTGCAATCCCTCGGCTGGCCACGGGCAAGACAGACCTGCCCGCCCGCCGGCCGGGCCCCGCCCACCCGGGTGTCTGCCGCTGCGGCGCCGTCGTGCGAGCCTGCTCTGCACGACAGGACGCCTGCGGGCACCAGCGCTGCCAGGAGCCGGCCAGGACCGCCAGGCGAAGCGCTTCTTGGCCGAGCTCGCCTGCTGTCGATGCACTGGACACCGACGGCGCGTGAAGGAACACGCCCGGGCGGCTGGTGCGCACGGGCGAACGTGCGCTCGCGATGTCCGGAAGCTCAAGCTTCACGCGGGGCTCGGTGTCTGGCCCAGGACATCGGACGGGTACTTCTCAGCTCGGCAGTTCGAATACTCGGCCCAGGATTGCCCCGAGCCAGCTCCAGACGATCGCCGAGGTCAATGAGATCCCATGTTCCGCAAGGGTTGACCTGAGCCTCAGGAAAGAACCGGGTGCCCGAGAAATTGCTATCCTGATGACTCCAGTGACTGGCCTGGTCGTTATATCTCCGCGTCCTCTCCTCCCCCGACAGTCCTCATCCACACGATCGCACCTCCTCCTCCTCCTCCTCATCATCATCATCATCGTCATCATCAGCAGCAGCACCATCAGCATCATCGGCATCATCAGCATCATCATCATCAGCAGCAGCAACATCAGCATCAACATCAGCGCCATCATCATCATCATCATCATCATCATCATCATCATCATCATCATCATCATCATCATCATCATCATCATCATCATCATCATCATCATCATCATCCGCATCATCACCAGTATCATCATCATCATCATCATCATCATCATCATCATCATCATCCGCATCATCACCAGTATCATCATCATAATCATCATCATCATCCCCATCATCATCATCCTCACCATCAACAACATCATCATCGTCAACAACATCATCATCATCATCATCATCATCATCATCATCATCATCATCATCATCATCATCACCATCCGCCGACACACCTCCTCCGTTTATCGTGCCTCGGTCCCCATGCTCTCCTCCTCATCTTCATCCTCTGCCCCACCTCCTTTGTCATTGTGCCTCCCTCTCCGTGCTCTCCTGGGCACCACCGACGCGCCTCACGGCGTATGACGCGAAGTGCTGGTCGCCGACGCGGAGCCGCTTCACGCCTCCCTGCGTGCCTTGCGAAGGACGACGACGAGGGAGGAGGAGGAGGAGTAGGAGGAGGAGTAGGAGGAGGAGGAGGAGGAGGAGGAGGAGGAGGAGGAGGAGAAGGGCGAGGAGGAGGAGGAGGAGGAGGAGGAGGAGGAGGAGGAGAGGAGAGTAGGAGTAGGAGGAGGAGGAGGAGGAGAGGAGGAGGAGGAGGAGGAGGAGGAGGAGGAGGAGGAGGCAGGGGGGGGAAGAAGGAAGCTGACGAAGAGGAGGGGAGAAGGGAATCCGAGGAGCGGAAAGAGGAGGCAGAGGAGGAGCAAGAAGGGGAGCAGAACTAGTATCGACGGCGACGACGAGAAACGATGACGAGGACAACGTCTCGGGTGGCCCGCCCAGCGCCAGGAGGCGCGGCGCCTTCAGGGCTGTGGCGGTTCCCTCCTGGCGAGGTGGACGGGGACCTTCCGCGGGCCAGGGAAGGAGGAGGAGGAGGAAAAGGAGGACAGGGGGGCGGAGGACAAGGGGGAAGACAAGGAGGATGACAAGGGGGAGGACAAGGAGGAGAAGAACAAGGAGGAGGATGTTAGGAGGACGAGGAGAAGGATACGGCTGAGAACGAGAAGCACATGGAAACAAACCACGGCGGAAGAGGCGGGAGAGCAAGGCAGGAGGGGTAACGGAGAAGGGAGTAACAATTGACGCGGGAACCGCGGATGGCGGGGGAGGGGAGAACAAGGACCGGGGGACTGGGGGAAGCAGAAAGAGAGAGAGAGAGAGAGAGGGAGAGATCATCATCATCATAAACAGAATCATCATCATCATCAACATCATCATCATCCTCATCAACAACATCATCATCATCCTCATCAACCTCATCATCATCACCATCATCATCATCACCATCATCATCCTCATCACCATCATCACCATCGTCATAATCACCATCAACATCATCATTGCTATCATGACCGTCATACTCATCCTCATCCTCATCCGCATCATCCTTATGGCCAACAACCACCCCCCCAGCATCGTCGTCACCATCTATGCATACATATGTATATATATATACATACATATATAGATACATAGATACACACATATATGTATGTATACACTTCCTCATTCTATTCCCACAGCTCGTCCTGGACCTCCCAGAGCGCTTCGCCGGGTCCAGCCAGCAGGCCCCAAGCGATCAGAGCGGTGGTCGGAGAGGCTGAAGAGAGACCCAAGACAGCACAAGAGCGCTCCAAGAAGGACCCAAAGAGCCTCCAGAGGCCCCCAAGACGGCCCAGGAGGCCCTCAACAGGGCTCCCAGAATGCAGACATTCGTACATTCCCTTGAGAAAACGTTCATCTTCAATGCATTCGCTCTCCGGGTCTTAGCAGCGTCCAAAACAGCCCAAAAAGCTTCCGGTGTCATCCCAAGACGGTCCAAGAGACCCCCGAGAGAGCCTCTAGACGGCTTGGACGGCCCCAAGACTGCCCAAGGAATCCACAAAAGAGCCAAACCGAAGCTCAACAGGCCCTCAAAGGCCCCGAAGCGATCAGAGCGGTAACCAGAGAGGCCGAAGAAAGACCCAAGACAGTACAAGAGCGATCCAAGAAGGACCCAGAGGGCCTCTTGAGGCACCCAAGACGGCCCATGAGGCCTTCAGCAGGGCTCCCAGAACGCAAACATGTCTTCATTCCCTTCGGAAAGCGTACCTTTTCAGTATACTCGCTGTTTTGGTCTTAGCAGCGTCCAAAACAGCCAAGAAGGCCTCCGGTATCGCCCCAAGATGGCCCAAGAGACCCCCAAGAGAGCCTGTAGACGGCCTGGGCGGCCCCAAGACTGCCCAAGGAAACTCCAAATGAGCCAAAAAGAAACCCAACAGGCCTTCACAAGGCCCCGAAGAGTAGCCCAAGAAGGCCATGGGAGGCCGCCCGAAAGGCCATGGGAGGCCAACGGGGGGCCTACGTAGCCCCCGTAAGGTCCCCAAAAGGCCCAAGCTCCCCAACACGGCCCAGGATGGCCCCAAGACGGCTCGAGACGGCCCCCAGCAGGCCGGCCCACCAAAGCTCCAAGAAGGCCCACGAGGCGATTTCCACCAAACTGACCCGAAACCCGGGCTCGCAACCACAAAATCCGGAAATCTGTTGCGAACCCGGGACTCGGTGCATTTCCTAAGAATTACTTGCGTTCGCGTGCCCCGTTGCGACCCGCTGCAAACCGCTGCAACATTCTTCGCCGTCCCCCGACGGCGCCCTCCTCTTCCTCCTCATTCTGCCGCTCCACCACTCGTCCTCCCCCACGTCCGCTTTCTTTCCTCGCTCTCCGAGATTCCCTTCCTCCTATCCTGCGCCTTCCACCCGGCGCCTTTCGGGAGCCCCCTGAGGCCCGGGAAGGGCCAGGGACCGCCCGAACTTTCGATGACTTCAAAAAACCACAGCAGAAAAGGAGCCAAATTTCCAAGGCCACGAAGCATGGTGCGAACGACCAAAATATGTAAATCCTCAAGGACCAATGTGCATGGCGGGAAGTGTCAATGCAAGCTTGCATAGATATATGTGCATATTTTAGATATATATATATATATATATATATATATATATATTCACACGTATACATGGATACATACTGATATCTCGATACACATAAATGTATATATGTATGTGTGCCTGTGTGTACTGATTCCTCTTCTTATATATTTGCAAACCAGGAGGGTGGGAAAACCCCCTCCCCCCCCAAAAAAATGAACCCGTCGGATCGCGGGTTTCTGGGCCCCCCGGACATCCTTGCCAAAGGTCCCCCGGCTCGCCCCGGACCTCCCAAGGCGCTTCGCCGGGTCCTGTCAGCAGGCCCCAAGCGATCATACCGGCAATTAGAAAGGCCGAAGAGAGACCCAAGACAGCATAAGAGCGCTTCAAGAAGGACCCAAATAGCCTACAGAGGCCAGGCCCCCAAGACGGCCCAGGAGGCCCTCAGCAGGGCTCTCAAAATGCAAGAATCCTTTCATGGGCGCTTTTTCTACTCAGTAGACTTGCTCGAGGCTTGCAGGACATCCGCCGAGGAACTGATGGCAAGGGGCCTCGGCAAAAACCTAGAGTCTTCAAACACACTACCATCGCTGTAATCTCAAGTCCACCGAGGCGAGGGATGGCCTTAGATGGGTGGAAAAGACTTGAGAATAAACGGCGATGGCAAACCGAGCTTTGCGGCCGCCTGTGGCGCGGTCTGCCAGGCGCCCCACCAAGTCCGCGCACTCTCGACCGTAAAAGGCCGTGGTTTGGCTCGACTTCAACGATTCTGCTGCAGTGACGTCGTTTTCCCTCGCGAACGCTCTCAGGTTCGCACATTCCATTTGCCCGCGCACTATGCCCTTGCCGCACGCGTTGCTCATGAATCGGTCCGCCACCCGCTTACCGATCCGATTCGCGTTTTCGCCCTGGAGCTGCCTGCCAAGCTTCTCGATCCCCTTGCAACACTCTTTCACTTCGTGGGAAGCCATGGGCTGCCGCTTCGCGCAGTAGTCGCAGGCGTACCCAGCCTGAGCGTCCTGCGCTATCTGCACGACTTTGATGATCGCTCCGTCGTCAAGCCTCTTATCGCACGCTTTCCCACAAGTGCAACATACCTCGGAGATGGGAGACTGATACGGCAGCTGCGCGGACAACATACGCGGATGCGTGCCGTTCAGACTCTCGCAATCCATCGGCCCGCGTAAGCTGCCTGCCCGATTCCGACGCCCCGCTTTCGGCATGTTCAAAGCCGCCGCCTGCCCCGGACACGCGGCGACGGCGCGGTCAATGATCTCGACGCACGCGGGAAATCTGCATTACACAACTTCGGGTTGTCCTTCCGGCGGCGCGCCGGCAGGGGTGCTCGCTCCCCGGTCTCTTCGTTGTTCAATTGCAGAAATTGCCCGTCCGCGTCCAGGCGCGCTGTCTCCCACGACGCAGCGACCCCCACAGCCTCCGTCTCCGATGCGTCGGGGCTACGGGTGCGACTCTGAAACGCGGGCCTGCAAACGAGACCGCCCTCGGTTTTGAACTCTGGCCACAATTTCTCTGCCCCCTCCAACTTCTGGCTGATCTGCGCCGCCGTCACCCGATTAGCATAAACCTGCCGACACACGCGTTCTTTATATTTCAAATAGTTCGCCGCGATCTCGCCCCCCCGGCCCTCGGCGTCGCCGTAGACAATGTCAAACACTTCTTCGAGCGGCGCTCGCTGGTGCAGGCGCCAGAGAAACACCCGGCAGTTCGCGGGGAGAGAGACCGTCAACTTCCGCGCTTCAATGGACACGTAGCATCGACTCGCCCGAAATCGCCCCCTCCAGGAACGGCACTGCCCCCGAGTAATTAGATCCTAGCAAGGCGCCCCATCTTCCGCGCGATTGCATCGCGGGCAGTTTGGGCAGGCCCACAGCCTGAACAGGTGACGGAGCGCGGCGCCCACCAGGATGCGGAAGCCGTCGATGCTCGCCACGGGATCTCGCGCTAGTATACGTCGGCGCTCGCTCCACGATGGCGCTCCTGCAAGCGCCGCCCCCATCGGAATGTCCACGCGCGCCCCCTCGACTTCGGGGGCTACTCGCGGCCGCTCGCGCCCCCGCGCTCGCCGCGAGTGCGCTTCCTCATCCGCTGACTTGCGCGCGGGGTCGCGCTGTCGAGCGCGCGGCAGGGGGGCCGCGAGCACGTCGCGGCCTTCGCCGAGCGATAAAATTGCGAAGATGGGGGCGCCGCGCCGGCTCGCAGAGCGCCCGTCTCAAAACGCATGACTCGACCAGCTTCCTGTGCACCTGGAGGCGCCGCGAAGAGTGCCCTATGTGCGTCAGGAGCTCGTGGGCGGCTCTCCCCGGGCCTGGCGCGTGCCGCACTTTTGTCGCGTCGCCCTTTGTGTTATGTTTCCTATTGATGACATCTGCGTACTTCCCGCCCAGCGCGCGGTAAATCTGCTTCGCTTCTTCGCCGACCTCCTCTGGGGTTAGCTGTTCGACCGCGCCTGTGGAGTTCGCCGTCGCGCACGTGAACCACGTCTTGCCCGGGTTCACCGCCGATCGAAAACAGGGTTCCAGGCCGCGAAACCGAAGTGCCAGTCGCGGCAGAGCTGGCTTTCCACGCGCCGGCCCATTATCCGCACCCGCAGCGGCAGCTCCACCTGCGGAGTACCATTCACCCGCCGATGTCGCGGACGCTTCGTAAACTCTGGGCAATCCGGCATTCCCGTGAAACGCCGCGCCGAAATACCAGGGCTCGAAGTGGCCCGTCATCGCGTTTCCCGCGCGCACGCGGAGGCGATCCACGCGCTTGCCCTCGCGCCTCGCTTGCGTCGGCACGTCGCGCCCCACTACTTCCCGCGCCGCCTCATCCGTGCCCGCGGCCGCCTCCTTGGCCCTGCAGGGGCGCTGCCTTGCCTGTTCGGTCTCCTTATCGCCGCCCCCCCCCGCTGGAAGTCGACGTTTCGTCGGCCCCATCA